ACCATCAAAACACCCTCCATATCTATGATTCTGACTCTGTTCTTCTTTGCTTAGTTTGTTTTTTAGATTCAATTATTGATAGATACGTATTTTTGCCATTTTATTGTTCATAGTTTTGATCTTTTCCTGAAATTAAGTCCCTTTAACATTTCATATGATAATGGTTTGGTGATGATGGACTCCTTTAATTTTTTTTCTTGTCTAGGAAGCTCTTTATCTGCCCTTTGATTCCAAATGATAGCTTTGCTGGGTAGAGCAATCTTGGCTGTAGGTCCCTGCTTTTTATGACTTTGAATATTTCTTGCCAATCCCTTCTAGCCTGAAAGGTTTCTTTTTTTAAGAAAGATTTTATTTTTTTTTAGACAGAGGGGAAAGGAGGGACAAAGGGAGAGGAAAATCAATGTGTGGTTGCCTCTCCTGCACCCCCTACCAAGGACCTGGCCTGCAACTGAGGCATGTTGCCTGACTGGGAATCAAAGCAGTGGCCCTTTGGTTCACAGGCCAGCACCCAGTCCATTTAGCCACACCAGCCAGGACCAAAGTTTCTTTTGAGAAATCACCTGGCAGTCTTAGGAGAAATCCCCTGTAGGTAACTAATTACTTTGCTCTTGCTGTTTTTAAGGTTCTCTCTTTATCTTTATAAGCTTTGGCATTTTAATTATGATGTGTCTTGGAGGGGACCTCTTTGCATCCACCTTGTTTGGGACCCTCTCAGCTTCCTAGACCTGCATGTCTACTTCCTTCACCAAATTAGGGAAGTTTTCTTTCAACATTTTTTCAAATAGATTTCCAGTTTTTTGCTCTTTCTCTTCTCCTTCTGGCACCCCTACGATGTGAATGTTGGACCTCTTGAAGTTGTCCCAGAGGCTATTTATACTATCCTCATTTTTTTGGATTCTTTTTTCTTGTTGTTTTGATTGGTTGTTCTGATTTGCTTCCTTATGTTCCAAATCATTGATTTGATTCTCTGCTTCATCCATTCTCTGTTGTTTCCCTGTAAATTGTTCTTTATTTAAATGAGTGTGTCCTTTGTTTCTGACTGGATCTTTTATGCTGTTGAGGTCCTTACTAACTTCCTTGAGCATCCTTATAACCAGTATTTTGAACTCTGCATCTGACAGATTGCTTATCTCTATTTCATTTAGCTCTTTTTCTGGAGTTTTGATCTGTTTTATTTGTTTGTTTGGGCCATGTTTCTTTGTCTCCTCATTTTGACAGCCTCCCTGTGTTTGTTTCTGTGTATTATATTAGGTCAAGCTGCTTTGACTCCATGTCTTGGTAGTGTGGCCTAATACAGTAGGTGTCCTGTAGGGTTTAGTGGCACACCCTCCCTTTACACCCAAACTGGGTATTCAAGGTGTGCCCTCTTTATGGGCTGAGTATACTCTTCTCTTTTAGTTGAGCCTCGGTTGCTGTTGGCACATCAGTAGGAGGGATTACCCAGGCCAGTCAGCTGCAAGGACCAGCTGTGACCTCTTACCACCAACCTGCACCCTCTGTGGAGAAAGAACTGTATAGGGGCAGAGTGGTGGTGCTCCAGCATGGTCTGTCGCTGTCCACTGGGTGTGCTGGCTCTGGGGTTTCCCAAGTGGTACAGGCCAAGGTCAGCCCCTCCCCTTGTTTTGCTCAGGGCTGCCCTTCCTGAGCTATAAAGCAATCTGAGATGGCTGCTACTTGTGCTGGGCTTAGAGATTCCCAGGCAAAGCCAGGCTGTGAACCTAGGCTGGCTGCTGCCAGTGCTGGACCTGGGGCTCACTAATGTTACAGGGTGCAGCCAAGAGGGGGGACCCCAAATGGGCATTTGAAATGGGGTCCAGAACTTAAGGTGTCCAGGAGATTTTAAGATGTCTCCATCCCCCCCCCCACCCAGGGTGTGGGTTGGGGGAAGGGACAAATGGAGCAAGGCCATTGAGATCTGTTTTGCATAGCAACAGCCTTGCAGCTACCCTCTGGCGTGGTCATTTAACATATCTATAGCCTTTGGCTGGTCGCTTAGATATGTTAAATAACTGTGATCATCTCTGAGCCAGGGGAATGGAAGTAACTTCCCCACCAAGACGTGACTGGGGCAGATCCCCCAAGCTACAGCGCCTGCATGGGAGCTCAGAGAAGATTGGCTCCAGGACATGGGGGCCACACCTGCCCAGACTCAAGATGGCAGCCCAGTAAAGCTAGAAGGTTATGAATTCTGGCAAGTGAAGCCGAGTGTGGGAGGAGTCGGAAATGAGGCTGCAGAGGAAGATTGGCCGCGGGGATTTAAAACCCAGACTTGGCGGCCATTAGGGGGGAGAACCACGCAGTTTTGGCAGAGTGAGGACTCTCCCTTCCCGCAGCCATAGAAAAGAGAACCACGCGGCTTTGATGGAGTGGAGACTCCTGCATCCCAGAGAGAGAGAACCACGCGGCCTGGACAGAGTGGGGACTCTCCCCTTCCCGCAGCCCTGAAAGGGAGAACCACGAGGCCTGGACAGAGTGGGGACCCCCGCAGCTTTAGAAGGGGGAACCACCACCTGGTTTTAGCAGAGATCCCGCGACTCAGCCGAGGGTGCCGGGAACCCAGGGAGGTCTCCCAGTCGAGAAGGAGGACTAACTAAGAACCAGAGGACTGTCTGAGCCAAGGACTTCATTTTCCTTCCCTGAAATACGGTACTCTGGACTGGGCAAAGGGGGAAGGAAGGACTGTGTCTGTTTGTGGGTGTTTTGGGGGACTTTGGGATTTTTGATAAAGACATTAGGTCACTACTTTAAGTTTGTATAGCATTAAATAAACATTTCCTTTCCTTTTCACGAATCTCTGGCATTGAGAGACGTCTTTCCTCAGGCGGTGGACATGACGGACCTGGGGGCCTTTTAAATAATAGTATATTGTCCCAGGCCCCCCTTGTGTGTTCTGTAACACTAAGGCCAGCTGTTGTTTGTTTGAGAGGATTTAGGAAGTTGTGAAGCTTGAGCCAAGTCCATTTTCCTTTTCCATTCATATGGCTTAGGTGGGCCTGTAAGTTGGGTGATGTGGAATCCCTGGGGATCTCCAGGGCAGGTCAAACAGTGTTAGCCAGGCTGATGGAGTCTCAGATATGGCACCAGTTTGCTGGCCCTGTGGCTCTGTGTGGAGAGGGTTTAGATAAAGGACAATGGCCTCAACTCACCTTGATGCCAGACACTTCAGTTTCTCCCAGTATGTCAGTGATGCCTTTCAAGCTGCTACCCTGGTGCTGGAGCTCAGAGGGAGTGAGTCTGAGTAGGTCAGTCCATGTGTGGTTTCTTTAAGAAGAACTGCTTGGGGCTCCAGAAGTTTCCTCCACTGACTCAATCCCTGCTGGTTTTTGTAGCCAGAAGTTTTGGGGACTCATTTTTCTGGCACTGGATCCCAGGGCTTGGGGGGGCCTGGTGTGGGACTGGGACTCCTCGCTCTGGAGATATCCTTCCCGAATTTTTATCCACCACACGTGGCTGTGGGATCAGACTGCTCTGCGTCTGTGCCTCTCCTACCAGTCTGGATGGATGTAGTTTCTTTAATTCCATAGTTGTCAGACTTCTATTCAACTAGATTTCTAATGGTTCTGAGTGATAGTTATTCTATATTTTAGTTTTAATTTTGATGTGGTTTTGTGAAGATGTGAGCCCCATCTGCCTACACAGCCATCTTGACTGGACTTACTCTTATTTATCAGGCAGTGTTACAGGGAGCTTATTGCAGTTATTGTTGGGTTCTCCTGTGATTTGGCTCCTATAATGAAGATTTGTCTGAATTATCATGTTTAATCCTCTCAGTAGCAGGATAGAAACTAGTAACATTTCTAGTCTACAAGTGAGTGAATAGGGGCTCAGAGATTAAGTGACTTGTCTGAGCTTACACAAGAATGTCAGAGCCAGAACATTAATTATAGGGCTGACAGTACAGCTGATGTACCTTTCAGTCTACTTTCTTTCCCCTTTCTCTGGTTCACTGTACCTAAATGGAAATGGAAAACATTTATTGTGGAAGATTAAATTTCTTCCACAGTGAAGGTTCTTGAATTTTGTTCTAAAATGTGTATTCTGGTTATAGCCTATTTCTAGAAATCTGGTTCTTAGCATATTATCACTTTGTCTTCTTATTGATTGCAGTGTAACCTTAAGTAACTTCTTAATTTTTCTCAAGTGCAGTTTGCCCTGTATGTAAGAATGTTATATGACCTGATAAAGCACACCTCAGTATTTTAAAGGTCTGTATATAGTTTATAGGAAGACAGGCAGCTTAATCTGGTTGCTGGAGTGTTAAACTTTACTGCTTATTCTGACATTTATTTATTTGGTGGTTTTGAGTTAAATCATTGCATTATATGACTTTTGTTTTTTTAACCTAAAAACAAGGTTAATAATGCTGGTTATGGCCCTTTTCTTAAGGTTTTTGTTGTTGTTAAGATTTTATTTATTTACGTTTAGACAGAGGAGAAGGGAGGAAGAAAGAGAGAGAAACATCAATGTGTGGTTGCCTCTAGCACGCCCTGCACCGGGGAACCTGGCCTGCAACCCAGGCATGTGTCCTGACTGGGAATCAAACCAGCGACCCTTGGGTTCACAGGCCAACGCTTAATCCACTGAGTGACACCAGTCAGGGCTGGTTATGGCCTTCTTATGTTGCATCTTAGTGAAGGAGAGGCCAGCAGAGCTTTCCTATATCTGAAGGTCCATAGGGCACTGTGACTGAGTATTGGGCTAGGGTCAGATCACCTGGACTGTCCCTGGCTCTGCCACCTACTAAGCTGCCTGACTTGAATGCCTCTCCCCCATCCCCACTCTCTTCCTACTTCAAGGGTTACAAGACTTAAATGAGAAATTACCTATGAAGAAGTGTTTTATACTTTATAGGTATAAGGGAGGATGATTATTCTCAAAGTGCTATGAGATTATAATATTTGGAAATCTTAGATTTAACTCAGTCTTCTGTGTTTGTTTTTGGACTTCTCAGATAACACTTGAGTTGTATGTTTTAATTTTTCTTCTTTTTTTTTTTTTAGTGGTATGTGTGCAACAGAGAGAAACTATGTGAATCACTCCAGGCTGTGTTTGTTCAGAGTTACCTTGATCAAGGAACACAGATCTTCTTAAACAACAGCATTGAGAAGTCAGGCTGGCTATTTATCCAATTATACCACTCCTTTGTGTCATCTGTTTTTAGTCTGTTTATGTCTAGAACATCTATCAATGGGTAAGTGAATCTTGGATTTTTTTTTTAACCCATAGGTTTAAAAAAGGAAAATGTAAAATAAAAGGAATCTTGTTCAGGAGGTTGACTATCTCGGCTGTGACAACACTTAACTTCTAGAGCAGAGGTAGCAAACACAAGGCCTGTGGGCCAAATCTGGTCCTCCACCTTGTTTCTACCTGGCAGCAGTGCTGAGCTATCTAACTGTTAAGGAGTAGTTACATTTATACAGTCCTAAGATTACATTTGGCCCTTTGAAGGCAACTGCGAGGCTGATGTGGTCCCCCCAATGAAAATGAGTTCAACACCCCTGTGCTAGAGGAAATCCTTGGTGGTAGATCCAGTGTCTTAGCTGTCTGTGCTTAGGCTTTTTAAGTTCACCATAACTTGATAAATAGCCTCACTAATCTTAGTCTGCATTTCTCTGATGGGAAGTACTTAGAGCAGTGCTTCCCAACTTTGGTATCTGCAGGAATCATCTGAGGATCTGGTTACAATGCAGATTCAGAGTCAGTGGGATTAGGGTGGGACCCAAGATTCTGCATTTTAAACAGGTGATACTGTTGCTGCTGCTGATTTAGCAGAGGGAGTAGCAAGATACTTGACCCCAAACCCTTAACAGAGATGGACTGAGGAGTAAGGTCCCAGGAGCAAATTTTGGGGGGATCTGTTTCAACCCAGCAGTGGGTGATGGCTTGTTTTGAGTGAAGACTCCTGTATCTGTTCTTAGATGTCTAGGCTCACCAGACCTTTATAAACTTACTATGGAATTTTTTATCCCTAGAGTGGGTCTCTCACTGAAATCTATGGAAAAAGCTCTAGGAATATTTTTTATCTCTTAGCCACATTTTCAAGCATCCCAAGGCCCAAGAATCCAGAACGCCAAAGAGGAAAGCAGCAGGGCTCAGTACTTTACAAGCCTGCTGGACCACTAAAAGCCACTGGTTTGGAGCCAGTGTCTACTGAATGTCTGTATCCCCAGTTTGTCATTTGTTCCTTAAATATATTTTCCGGTACCATGAGCCATTTCTCAAGATTTCTTACTTGATTTTTTCATTGCTTATGTGAAATTGGTTAAAGTTTGCTTCAGCAAACAGTTATTTTTGTATTGGTAGCTGAATTTATACAACTCAGTCTGATATTTTGTTTCTAAAATTGGCTGCATTGAATTTCTGCTCTATTCCATTTATTTTTTTATTGAACAGCAGGCAAGTCACTGTAGCAATGATTTTTAACCTTTTTGGGGCTCTATACCTCTTTGAAAGCAATAAAAAATAGGAATCCTTTCTTCATGGTCCTTACATTTAACATTTTGCATAAAATTTGGGGAGATTTCAAACTCTGAGCTACTTGCCCCTATCTCTACCCCATTGGACCCTGGTTAAAATTCTCTGCTGGGGAATTGCACAGTTTATTCAAAGAGAGGCAGTACAGTTAATAAATCCCTTTTGGCTTTCCTTGTCTATAGCTCTCCACCTTTTTTTTTTTTAACCTTTATTTATCTCCTCTCCACCTCCCCCACCCAACAAAAACAAAAACATCTCTTGTCCTCCTGTGTCCTTATTCTCAGCTGAAAGCTTACTTTTGAGCCCATTGGCACATTCATGGCAGTGATAGATTATTACCATGAATGAGCATCTCTTACAGATGTAATTACTATGGCATCTTCTTGAAGTAAGATGGTAAGATGCTTATTAGACTTGCTATGTGATGGAAGGGAAAGGCTAAGTAAGGGCATACTTGATAGGTGTTTTGGCATTTATTTTATAAGGAAGATATTTTAAGGAGACATACCTGCTCTGCAGACTCTGAATCTGGAAGGAACTTAGATTGTGGCCAGAGAATCTAGGATGGTTATTCAACACTTGAAAAAAAATCACATGGACATCACTAACTTTGGTAATTAAAGGCAAATTAGAGAGTCAGACCTCTCCATGGTATATGTTTGCTGGAAACTTTGTATTGAGGTAGGTCAGTGTCTTAGCATTTTAAGTGAGATAGTTCTTCATTGTGTGGGACTGTCCCACACATTGCAGGAAATCTGACTCTTTTGGTCTTGCCCACTAAGCCATTGTGACTACCACATACTCTCCCACCTACTACCAATGACTCTTAGAGAACAAAGTTGGTCTTGGCTGAGAAACACTGGGCTCAATGAATTTTGATTTATTTTTTGACAGTTTTAATCTTTTTGTGGAGCCTCAGTTGGTCATGGTCTTTGGAAGCAGGACAGTGCTTCTCTCTCTGGTGCCTTGAGATGTAGACCAGTGAGATGACCTCCTGAGCTCTGACCTCAGATGACCTCTAACTCTAGAATTTTATGATGATCCTGTCAAGGTTTGTTACATCCCAACCCAAGGAGATGGCTAAGGAAGCATGTTATTTTATAACTGGAAAACTTGAAGCCAAAGAATTATTTTGCAACTGACATTTGGTCCTATGACAAGTTAGCACCAACACTTGCCACATGCATCTCTAGCCATGCTGCCTATGACTTTGTAACCTCCTTGCTCTGACTTGTTCCTATGTGAAACTTTGTATAGCTTTTTCAGTGAGTCTACTTCCTTTTACTCAGGTTTGCTTTCTATAGCCTGTTTTCCCACATGAACATATAAACAAGTGGGTCTTGAGAACAACTTGTCTTTCCAAGATAGAATTTTCTCTGGTTAGCAGTTATTGTGAACTGCATCATGTTTCCTCTCTGAGTCTCCCATCCCTACCTTTTTAACATTTCTCTGGGTTGGGAGATATACTGTTAATACATTATTAGATTTGGTTAAACTCTCCTATGGCATTCATTAGTGGGCAAAGTGGAGGAGAAGTTTGTTATATGAACTCCATAGTTTAAATTTTTCCTGAAACTGGTCTTATCAGGAGCACCAAGTTGCACACATCTTTCTAGTCCCTGTATAACAAATGTATTGTACCTTAGAATTATTACCAGAAAGTGACAGTCCAGTGCAGATTTTCCTGCCATTTCCTAGACCAGTGGTTTTCAGACTGGTTCCCAGGGTCCCAGGAGGAAGCTCCCAGGAATACAGAAAGGCCTTCCATGGGTAGGCACACCTCCAAGGCCCCAATCCAGCAGGAGCTCCCTGTGTCATTCTGTACTTAAAGAAATGTGAGAGTCTGTGCTGTAGACAAATGATTTGAGAGCTCGAAAACCTGTCCTAAATGGGAGTGCAATCATTTCCACATGATGCTTCTGTGAGACTTTGTATGACCTCTACCTTCTTTTCCAGGGGTCCTCTTTGATTTCCCTTTTAACTCTTCTCAGTCTCTATTTTTCAAAGGCATTCATATGTTTGAGTGTTTTTAAACAAAATATATTTTATTTGTGCTACTATAGTTGTCCCAATTTTCCTCCCTCCAACCAGATACTCCCACTCCCTCAGGTCATCCCTACACTGTTGTCCATGTCTATAGGTCATACAATAAGTTCTTGGCTATTATATTCCCTGTGCTATACTTTACATCCCTATGACTATTCTGTAACAACCAATTTGTACTTCTTAACCCCTTCACCAAACCCCTTTTTTGCCTATCCCTCTAACCCATCTGGCAACCATCAAAACATTCTTTGTATATATGATTCTGTTTCTGTTCTACTAGTTTGTTTTATATTCAACTGTTAATATGAATGTATTGCCATTTCATTGTTTGTTTTTTGATCTTCTTAAAGAAGACCCTTTAACATTTCATATAACACTTGTTTGGTGGTAATGGATTCCTTTAGCTTTTTCCTGTAGGGGAAGCTCTTTATCTGCCCTTCCATTCTAAATGATGACTTTGCTGGGTAGAGTAATCTTGGTTGTAGGTCCTTGCTTTTCATGACTTTGAATATGTCTTGCCAATCCCTTCAAGCCTGCAAAGTTTCTTTTCAGAAATTGGCTGACAGTCTTATGGGAGCTCCCTTGTAGGTAACTAACTTCTTTTCTCTTGCTGCTTTTAAAATTTTCTCTTTATCTTTAAGCTTTTGCATTTTAATTATGATGTGTCTTGGTGTGGTCCTCTTTGGGTTCATCTTGTTTGGACTCTGTGCTTCCTGGACTTGCATGTCTATTTTCTTCATCAAATTAGGGGAATTTTCTTTCATTATGTTTTCAAATAGGTTTTCAGTTTCTTGTTCTCTTCTCCTTCCGGTATGCCATGATACGAATGTTGGTATGCTTGAAGTTGTCCCAGAAGCTCTTTAACACTATCCTTATTTTTTTTGGACTCTTTTTTTCTTCTTGCTCTACTGATTGGGTGTTTTTTTGCCTCCTTATATTCCAGATTGCTTAGTGAGATTTGATTCTTGGCTTCATCCATGCTACTGTTCATTCCCTGTAGATTGTTCTTTCTTTCTTTCTTTTTTTTTTAAGATTTTATTTATTTATTTTTAGAGAGGGAAGGGAGGGAGAAAGAGAGAGAGAAACATCAATGTGCAGTTGCTGGGGGTCATGGCCTGTAACCCAGGCATGTACCCTGACTGGGAATCGAACCTGTGACACTTTGGTTCGCAGCCCGCGCTCAATCCACTGAGCCACACCAGCCAGGGCTGATTGTTCTTTATTTTCATTAGTGTGCCCTTCTTTTCTGACTGGATCTTTTTTATGATGTTGAGGTCCTTACCAAGTTCTTTGAGCATCCTTATAACCAGTGTTTTGAACTCTGCATCTGATAGATTGCGTATCTCCATTTTGCTTAGTTATTTTTCTGGAGTTTTGTTCTGTTTTTTCATTTGGACCAGGTTTCTTTGTCTTATTTAGAGAGCTTCCCTGTGTTGGTTTCTATGTATTAGGTAGAGTTGCTACAACTCTTGGGGGTGCCCGGGTGAGGCTAAGCTGTGAACCAAGGCTAGCTGCTGCTAGTGCCAGGCCTGGGACGACTTAGCAAGAGGTACAGGGCTCACTGAGACCAGATGTTGCTTGTTTTGTAGAATTTAGACAAATCTGAAGCATGAGCCAAGACAAACCATTTGTATGGAAAAAGCCACTGAAAACAGCTTGGGTAGACCTGAAAATTGTGTGGGGTGGGCATCAGGGAATCACCAGGGTTGGGCAAATAGTATGAGCCAGGTTAATGGAGTCTCAGATGTGGCACCCATCTGCCACCTTTCTGAGGGGAGAGCTCAGAAAAAGAAAAATAGACTCTGTCAGCACTCTGTCTGGGAGAACGTTTCCCCAAACTCTGATCCTGATGCAGCATGATTCAGTTCCTCCTTGTATTTCTAGTGCTTTTCAGTCTTCTGTCTGTCCTGGAGCTCAGAACTAGTGAGTCTGAGTAAGTCTGTGTGCAGGCCCTTTAAGAGGAACTGCCCAGGACTCCAAAAGTTTCTGTCTTCTGCAGCCTCAGTCCTTGTCCAGACATCATGGCAACTTCTCTTGCCAGCTGTGGAACCCTGGGCTGGGGGGCCTGGTGTGGGGCTGGGACCCCTCACTTTTGAGATATTTCTCCCAATTTTTATCTGCCCCACTTGGGTGTGGGACCAGTTCATTCCGTGTCTCTGTCCCTCCTATCAATGTTGATGTGGTTGCTTCTTTAATTCTGTAGTTGTAGGACTCCCATTTAGCTTGATTTCTGGTGGTTCTGAATGATGATTGTTCTGTAGTTTAGGTGTAATTTTCATGTGGTTATGCGAGGAGGCAATATTGTTTGAGTGTTTTTAGGATCTTTAGAAATAATAAGACCTAGCCAATTGTATAACAAATACATCGATATGAGTATGAATCTACTTTCTTAATGCAAATGAGCTTATATCACAAGGACCACTCTTTTCTTTCTTAAAAATCTATTATACTAAAACTTTTTTCTCTTACCCATTGTTTAGTTTTATAAAGGCTTTTGCCCCCATATTTGGTTTTTCTGCTTAGTGTTACTGGCTAGTGTTGTGGACAATTCTGTTGGTCTGTCATCTGATAAATATATTCTATGTTACTCTTTCCATCTTTCCTTCCTATTTTGAGATAAATTCTTCACATTCACCTTTTCTTATTTATTTATCCTCCCTTCCCCTCTCATTCTTTTCCTCTTTCATCTTTTATTCCTGTTTTTGCCCTACTTCTTTTGGGGTATTACTTGCAACTTCAAAGACAAATGATGCTATCTGGAGGCATTTCCTTGTTTTATTAACTTTGCTTTTTAGTCATATAAGTCATATAAAATATTACATGTATTTTAATCACATAATCATGTAAACTAAACATTTTGTAAGTTCAAAAAGCTGTTGGTGCTGAGTCACCAAAGTCACCCTGTATATGTATATGAGCTGTGCTTATCTCATATTGACTCATCCATTTGTGTCCTCTTTTTTTTTTGCTCAGGTTGCTGGGAAGAGGCTCAATGTTTGTGTTTTCACCAGATCAGTTTCAGAAACTGCTTAAAATTAATCCAGACTGGAAAACCCATAGACTTCTTGATTTGGGTGCTGGAGATGGAGAAGTCACAAAAATCATGAGCCCTCATTTTGAAGAAATTTATGCCACTGAGCTGTCTGAAACTATGATATGGCAGCTTCAGAAGAAGAAATACAGGTATAATTTTTAGACATGGTTTGGTGTATATTTTTTGGTTTTAGATGTATTTCTTTTTGAGAGCGTATTATTTAAAGGATATGAATCAGAAACACTTCTGTGGTTAGAAACTAAAAAAGAGAAAACTTTCCATATTACAGATAAGTGGGAATTGAGAGAGATCATCTTTCCTTGGCAGTATTTTTCTGGACTATTGGGAGGAAAAGAGCAGATGGGAGACAACTTGGTAAGAGGAGATCAGACGTAGGGACTTGTTATAGGGGAATTATGTCTGTATGATGTTGAACTAAGTGATATGTAAGATCCCTCTTAACTCCAGCAATCTGTCTCTGATAAAATCCTGGTGGGTCTGTATGGTAATACTTGAAACATATTCCTTCAATTAGAAATTAATTCACCATTTCAAATCTTGGAATGCTTGACTTGTTATAACAGTGGCTTAAGTTTTGCTGAATTCCTAATCTGAATCTCCCCCACTTTGAAAAACATCTGTGTTTTGAAAGTAGGTATGGGAAGGAAAGTGTGTTCCTTCATGATATGTTTAGAATTTTGTAGGTTATCTCCACTGTATCTGCTCAGCATTATCAAAGACTTGTTTACCAGAGATCCTTTTACTGTCTGTTTTTCCCCATCTATCGTAACATGCACCACCTACTACATTCTGATTGCTATAACTAAACAGGAGTGAAGAAGTTATAAAATTGGCTAATAGAGACTCTTGATAGCTCATATACAATCTCCCCCTTTCTATGGATAAAACATTGTAAAGCATTAGAAATGTTCTTTGAGAAAAGAGAGGGTGAGGAGAGAGAGGGAGAGATTGAGGGTTAAGAGTGGTGTGGTAACTATGCTCTTCATGGGACTTCTGGCCAAGATGGAGGCGTGGGTAGACACATTGTCTCCTCGCACAACCAAAAGAAGGGCAACAAATTTAAAAACAAAAAAAACCAACCAGAACTGACAGAAAATCGAATTGTGTGGAAGTCCGACAACCAAGGAGTTAAAGAAGAAACATTCATCCAGACTGGTAGGAGGGGCAGAGGTGGGCAGCCAGGTGGAAAGGACTCATAGCAAGGCAGCAGTTGGCAGACCCCTTGAGGTGGCTTATTGAGGACTCGGTGTTCCCACAGTCACGTGCAGATAAACTGGAAGGAAGAACTGGGGAGCAAGATAGACCATGCAACCTGGAGTTCAAGTGTGGGGAAATAAAACTTCAACCCTCTGATTGAAAACACTAGTGGGGGTGGAGGCAACAGCAGGAGAAACTCCCAGCCTCACAGTAGAGTTCATTGGAGAGACCAACAGGGCCCTAGAACATACACATGCCCACCCACTCAGGAATCAGCACCAGAAGGACCCAATTTGATTGTGGGTAGCAGGGTAAGTGACTGAAAACTGGCAGAGAGCAGAGCAAGTGGTATTGTTCCCTCTCAAACCCCTCCCCCACATACAATGTCACAACCCAGTGACTTGGGTTGCCCTGCCCTGGTGAACTCCTAAGGCTCCGCCCCTTACTATCTAACAGGTGTGCCAAGACAAAAAAAAAAAATGGTCCAAATGAGGAACAGATCAAAGCTCCAGAAAAAATACAACTAAGCAGCAAAGAGATAGCCAGCCTATCGGATGTACAGTTCAAAACACTGGTAATCAGGATGCTCACAGAATTGATTGATTTTGTTCACAAATTAGATGAATAAATGAAGGCTACAATAAGTGAAATAAAGGAAAATGTACAGGGAATCAACAGTGATGGGAAGGAAATTGGGACTCAAATCAACAGTGTGGATCAGAAGGAAGAAATAAACATTCAATCAGAAAAGAATGAAGAAACAAGAATTCAAAAAAATGAGGAGAGGCTTAGGAACCTCCAGGACATCTTGAAATGTTCCAACACCCAAATCATAGGGTACCCGAAGGAGAAGAGGAAGAGTAAGAAATTGAAAACTTACTTGAACAAATAATAAAGGAGTACTTCCCCAATCTGGCAAAGAAAACAGACTTTCAGGAAGTCCAGGAAGCTCAGAGAGTCCCAAAGAAGTTGGACCCAAGGAGGAACACACATCATAATTACATTAGCCAAGATTAAAATGAAGGAGAGAATCTTAAAAGCAGCATGAGAAAAGGAGACAGTTACCTCCAAAGGAGTTCCCATCAGTCTGTCAGCTGATTTCTCAAAAGAGACCTTATAGGCAAGAAGGGACTGGAAAGAAGTATTCCAAGTCATTAAAGACAAGGACCTACATCCAAGATTACTTTCTCCAGCAAAACTGTCATTCAGGGCAGATAAAGTGCTTCCCAGATAAGGTCAAGTTAAAGGAGTTCATCATCACCAAGCCCTTATTATATTAAAGGTTAAAGGGACTTATCTAAGAAAAAGAAGATAAAAATATGAACAGTAAAATGACAACACACTCGCAGTTATTAATAACCTAACCAAAAACAAAAACAAACTAAGGAAACAACTAGAACAGGAACAGAATCACAGAAATGGAGATCACATGGAGGGTTATCAGCAGGGGAGTGGGTGGAGGGAGAGGGGGAAAATGTACAGAGTAGATGGTAGGTAGAAGATAGACAGGGGGATGTTAAGAATATTATAGGAAATGTAGAAGCCAAAGAACTTACATATATGACCCATGGACATGAACTAAAGGGGGAGAATGCGGGTGGGAGCGGGTGCACAGCATGGAAGGGAATAGAGGAGGGAAAATGGGACAACTATAATAATAAAACATTTAAAAATTTAAAAATATTAGCAAGTAAAGAAAACTATGCTCTTTATGAACTTACAGTTTTAATGGAATGTTCTATGCTTTTTCTTCTATAAATTGTATAGATATGAAGATCCCAGAGTATGAAATAATATCTCTCTCGGGAACACATATGCTCAAAAGGTTATAGGTTATAAATGGAAATTATCTGTACTATGCCTAGCCATTCTTAAAAATAAGAGGGACCCTAGTAATAGAAAACATAAATATCTATTTTATGATTAAATACCAGTGAATGTAGAAAGTATGACTCTTCGTTTATTAACTGATGTTCAAGCATTTGATACTCTAGTTTTATAATAATTTTTATCACCATGTCATCATACTTATAAAATACATGATTAGCTCTTATAAAGAAAATTTTTTGATTTGAGATTTGGAAATAGGTGAAATGCTAAATTTAAAGACATATGGTAGCTATTTTTCTCTTGCCTGGCCCTTTTATTTCTGGAAATATAGATTATAAATGAAGATTTTAAATGTACTTTGATTTAGAAGACAAAGTTAAGAGACTTTACTGGCATCTCAGTTTTTTTTGTTGTTGTTTGTTTGTTTTGCATCTCAGTTATTTTTAAAGATGATTTTAAGGGAGTTTTGTATCAATCCAGTTCCCTCTGATATTTCCAGAGTGCTCGGTATAAATGAATGGCAGAATACAGGGTTCCAGTATGATGTCATCAGCTGCTTGAATTTGCTGGACCGCTGTGATCAGCCCCTGACTTTGTTGAAGGATATCAGAAGTGTCTTGGAGCCAACTAGGGGCAGGGTCATCCTGGCCCTGGTCTTACCCTTTCATCCCTATGTGGAAAATGGTGAGTGTGATCAGGTAGCCTCTTCTTCACCGTAGGTGTTTATTGCTACTTGTGATTCTGTTTCTTAGAATAGCCTGGAATTTTAAAGAATACAGTTTACCCATGGAAAATACCTACTTGATGAATGTTCATCTCAGTGTGGGTTTTATGGAACTCTGGAAGGACTAGAGTTTCATAAAACCCACACTGGTAATAATTAGTGCTCAGTGGGGTCTGCCCACTCCAAATGAAAAGCCTAACATGGGCCCATCTTTAGTGCTTTTAAATGGAGCTTGCACCATTTATTCATTAATTTATATGCTAGGTCAAGAAGTAAATGATGCTTTTTAATCTACCTATATATACTTGCTGAATGTCATAGCTGTTTTGTATTTTACATCTTTTGTCCCAGACTCTCACAATGATAAATGCTGTTATCCATTTTGCCCTTTTGTGTTCCAGCAGGTATCATTTCTTTGTGTTAACATTTGGTTTTGTGATTGTGTGGACTTGCTCTTCAGCTATGTTGAATGAAGAATATATTAGAAGAAATGATTTGATTTCTTATTCATATTTATTTACTTTGACTTCTGGCAGTATCACATTGACTCATAGTTTTAGCTGATATGCTTTTCATTTCAGGTCATTTTGAAAGTTATGACTTTAAACCTTTTTTTTGCATTTTTGTAAGTTAATGTACTATAATATAAAATGATTAATTATATAAGTAGTACATGTTAATATTTTAAAATCTTTAGTTGTTTAAAGTTTTACTGCCTCGCTCAGCCTGAGGTTCAGAAACTGTAAGTGCTGCCCTAGTTGGGTGGCTCAGTTGGTTGGAGTGTTGTTTTGTACACTGTAAGGTTGTAGATTCCATCCCTGGTTATGGCATGTACAGGAAGCAACTGATTAATGTTAGTCTCTCACATCAATGTTTTTCTCTCTGTCTCTTAAATCATTTTTTACCTTGGGTGGTGTAGGTCAGTGGATTGAGTGCTGGCCTGCAAACCAAAGGGTCGCCGGTTCGATTCCCGGTCTATGGCAAATGCCTGGGTTGTAGGCTAGGTCCCCAGTAGGGGGTTTGCATTCTCTTCTCTCTTCCTCCTTCCCTTCCCCTCTTTCTAAAATTAAATAAATAAAATCTTGAAAAAAATCTGTTTTTAAAAACCTCTAGGAGCTTGCAGACATTTAAAAAATTTGTTTTAATCCTCACTGAAGATATATTTTTAAATTGATTTGTAGAATTTTAGAGAGGGGGAGGAAAGGAAAAAAGAGGGGTGTTGTGGGGGGAGAGAGAGAGAGAAAGACAGAGACATCAACGTGAGAGAAACATTTATTCGTTGCCTTCCATACGTGACTAGATGAGGGATCAAACCTGTAACCTAGGTATATGCCCTGACCAGGAATTGAGCCCACAGCCTTTTGGCATACAGGATGAGGCTCCAACCAACTGAACCACCCTGTCAGGGCAGCTTGCAGGCATTTTTAAGAAATCCATGAATATTTTATAAGCATTGTAGTCAGTGACTATCTGTGAAAATCTGTACCCTAAGGAATAATGTTTATGTTTGCTTATGGCCATGGATTTGTGTTTCCACTTACTTGCTCCTTCACTTCTTCTTGTCTTTATTTTTTCCCCCTCAGGTTTTAGTCTCTTGATATTTAATGCTTGTTTTAACATTTACCAAATGGTTTTAGGTATCTGTTGATGATAGTCAAATGGGGATTTCTTTGGACATAGGAGAGTGGGAAAGAGTATAGACAGATATTCCCTATCTCATGTCCATTTTTACATTCTTGTTGAATCGTTTGTCATGGTAAAGAAAACACTGCTTTAGGGGTAAGTCCCTGTATATCATATATGTGTTGTACAGGGGAAAACCCAGTAAGTGTCCTTCTTGATAATTCAGCGACCTGATCTTATTTCAGTGCTATTCTGGTATAATCAAGCCTTAGCTCTGTCTTTCTGCATTGGAGTCATGAGTCATCAGGTTGTAAGGTCCTGGTTTCCTGTGCCTTGTTGGGTAACCACATGGTAGAACTTTAATGCAACTTCATGGCATAGTAGGAGGTGGAAAAGCAGGGGAAGAAACATCAGTTTGACCATGGTTTTTATATCCTTGTGTTTCTGACACTAAAAATTGAGGAGTCACTTTGGACAACAGGGCGGTTACCAGTAAGGATTGAAAACGAGCTCCTTAATGGTGGGTACACAGAGCTGTCTGCTGAGTCCAAGGAGTCTGCAGTGACACAGCACACCTGAGACAAGCAGCTTTGTTGCTGTGGGTTACCTTGAATGACCTATAAATTTTGTGCACTGCTCCTTGGTGCTCTATTATTGTTTTCTTTCTTTCTCTAAGTCACTGATTAGACCCTGATGGTTACCAGGTGACACTGTGAGGAGTGGGATGTCCAAGGTGATCTTGCTGTGTGAATTCGTGAGTACTAGGCTGTTCTAAGGATAGCTGAATGTACTTTGCACACTTGGCTTAATTTATTTTTGAACAAAAAGCAAATGTAGATTAAATGATTCTTTCTGTAATTTTTTTCATTTGTCTTGAGTTCAAGCTACAATGATTTTGTTACTTAGGTTAAATGCAAAATGTGCCTAATTTCAGTTTACTTGGTTTACTAACCCAGTTTTGGTTAGGAATTATTAAATCCACTGAGAATTTTCTAAAGCATCAAAAAAAGTAAAAATTATGTAATCAAGAAAAGGAGAATTATATTGCAAAACTGAAAATTTAGTGATGCATAATTTTTTTAAATTGTAATTTTCATAAAAAGGTAATTCATGATAAAAAAGAGTTCCAGCAGTTTGTAAGAGGGTATATAATGAATAGCTTTTCATCCTTTCCAGTTCCACAGTCTTGTTCAGGTTTATTGAGTATTTCCTCAAAGATAGTCTATGCATATATAAGCATATGTATACATGGAAAAAATGGATTATATAATTAAAGCTCATCATACATTCTTTGTTGCCACTTAAACATATCTAGGAGATTATTCCTTACCAACATATACAAGGCCTGTCCAGAAGGAATCCACCCATGTAATATGACAAATAGAGACATTTATTGAACAAGATATAAGAAACATTGTACATAGGACAATGATACCTCAGTCCCCTTCAGTGTAGGCACCTTTGGACCTCACACAGTTCTCCCAGTCACCATCAGCTGCTCCGTCATGTTTTCTTGAATCTCATTGATGGTCTGCAATCTCTTCCCTTTCAAAGGTGATTTTAGTTAGGGGAAAAGCCAGAAGTGCCAAATCTGGGCTGTAGGGGGACTGAATCACCTGGGTGATTTGATGGTTTCACCAAAAAACTCTGCATAAGATGTAATGCATAAATGGATGTGTTGTTGTGATGAAACTGCCAGTCACCAGTTGCCAATAGCTGAATCATCCGAATAGTTTCTGCAGAGGAACACTCAAGCTTAACACAAAATTTGATGCAGATTTGTTGCTCTCTTTGCTCTGTCATTTTGAATGCAACTGCCACACAGTACACATGCTCACTCAATGACATCTACGGCCCCCACTGACTAGTACAGTGCAGTTGTTGTTAATACATGCACATTCTAGTCCACTCTCCTTGGCAGCCAGGTTACATCCATGTCATGCAAACTGTTCTCGTTATATTAACAGTGGCTGGACTTTTTCCAGATGGACCTCGTATGTGTCTATGTCATTCTTGGACTTGTAAGCAGTGGTATGCTGGAGCTGGTTTTACTGGCTCCTGAGCACTGGTTGGTATACTGGCAAGCCCTGGATGTAAATGTGGCCATTAGTGCAGTTGACTGTGGTGCAAGTGCCTATACCATGGAAACTGGCACACACCACAGGTTGCTAGACATTTACCCGCACACCACAGGGTGTGTCATAACCCCTTTAGGAAGTCCCTTTCAGACACTAGCAGTTTGCTTTATAAATAGTCGAGACGTGAGCATTCTTTTAAAAATTTTTTATTTATTTATTTATTTTTTTTAGAGAAAGGGGGTGGGGGAAGAAGGAGAGTGAGAGCAAGAAAAAGGGAATTGGCTGCTGAATACTCTATGCCACAGAATAGTTTCATTCGTTTAAAAAGTATTTACTGATACCTACATGCTGGGGATACAGTGACAAAAAACATACACATATAGTTAACCATCATGGAGCTTACACTCTAGTGAAGAAGACAGACATTAAACAAATGGCATGTCATTGGTGATAAGTGTTGTGTAGGAAATAAACAACAGAAGTGTGAAACGGGCTTTTGAAATTGGGGGTTGGGTTTGAGTGCTGTAATCTTAAAGTGCATGCTTAGGGAGGGACCTCACTGAGAGGGTGTGAAAAAGACCTGGAGGAAGCAAGGTAAAGGTTGCAGGATTCAGTTATAGGGCTGGGACTGCTAGCCTGTGATCCTAACACCATTTACTGAATCATCCTTTCCTCCATGCTTTGAAGTGCCACCTTTATCACAGACTAAAGTCCTGTTTGTGGTTCTGTGCTGTTTAGATTGATCTTTCGTGTGTCAGTACCAAATGACTTTACTTACTGCAGTTCATCATGTGTTTTGATATTGTAGCACTCCTTGCCTTCAGTCAGTGCCTGTTCAGACTGTTCTTGGCTCATTTATTTAACAGATCAACTTTACCATTAGCTTATTTGGTTCCCCTTATATTAAATTTATATCTTCATTTAGAGATTATTGAGCCTCCCTAGTCAATAATAGAATGTATCTTCCAACTGGGTCAGTTCTTTGTGTTCTTTAGTAACATGAAATTTTCTTCACAAAGGTCCAGCACAATTTTTGTTAGATTTATTCTCATGGGGGGGGGGGGTGTGAGAGATAATTTAAATAGAAATTTCTCTTCTATCATATTTTTTTATTTTTTCCCCAGCTTTATTGAGGTATAATTAACAAGTAAAAATTGTGTATATTTTGGGTACACAGCATGATGATTTTAGTGTATGTATGCATTTTGAAATGATTATCACTATCAAGTTAATTAACATATTACCTCATGTAGTTACCTTAGGAAATTTCATGTATACTATACAGTATCATTAAGTGTAGTCAACCTACTATACATTAGATCTATAGAACTTAACTCATCTCAAACTGGATGTTAGACTGGCATCTCCCCATTTCCTCCCTACCCCAGCCCCTGACAACTATTATTCTTTTGTGTGGTTCTAGGAGTTTGGCTTGTTTAGATTCCATGTACAAGTGAGATCCTATGGTATTTGTATACTTCACTGAGCATAATGTCCTCCAAGTTTGTTCATGTTGTCACCAAGTGGGTCCTCCACTGTGTTATAGAATGAATACTATATATACACAAGCAGTTGATTTTTTATCTTCTGTCTTACTGAATTATTTTAGTGTTTCCAATATTTTTTTTATTGATTCTCTTGTGTTTAGATATGGTTTTGCTACTTTTCATTTTCAGACATTTTCTTTTGGTCTAGAATTGGTAATTAATTCTAGAAAATGCTCATTAAAAACAGTGGATGTTTTTGTCTTGATTTTGACTTTAATGAAATGTTTCTATTTTAAATATGATGCTATCTTTTGGCTTGATGTTGCTGTTGTTTATCTTGAGATACATATTTTTTTAATCCTGTTTTCTTAAGAGCTTAAAAAATTAGGAGCCACTATTGAATATTTCACTGGTTGTTTTCAACATCTATGGAGGTGTGGTCATACTGGTTTTTTTTTCCTTTGACTTATTAAATTAATAACACTTTTCTAGTATATATCCGCCTTTGCAGTTCTGGGCTTAGGTGGAATAGTCTTGTAATGCATCACTAGATTGTTTTTACAAAAATTCTAAATAAAAATATTAGCATTAATATTGATAAATGATAGTTGGTCTGTATCTGGTCTTTCATTTAGTTGGAAGATACAATTTGTGCCATTTTTTCAATGTCAATGTTCTGCTGGCTTTGTAAAAACTAATTTGGAAGTTTTTTCTGTTATGCTCTGGAACAGTTTAAAAGGCATGTTGTGGTTATCTCATATTTGAAAGTTTAGTAGATTTCTCCTGTGATAACAGTGAGGCTGATATCAGTGAGGCCTGTGCTTTTTGAAAGGTAGCCTTTGGCAACTTTCTCACTTTCTTCCAGGCTCATTGTTCTAGCTAAATTAGACACAGTAAATCTAAAAGCTCCTGTCAATCTAAATATAAGCAAGTCTCTGGCAGGACTGTTTCCTGGCAAGATCTTGGTCTTTGTAAGGCAACCTGTACTAGAAATGTAGATCAGCCCTTACTAACCTGGGCCTCTCATTAAGCTTAGTGTTTCATCTGTAAAACTGGGGCTAATACGTATTGTAAAATATGTCATGAGGATTAAATAATTTCATGTGTAGGGTAGAGCCCCGCTGTGTCTGTCTCAGCACTGGTATTTGACACATCAGATTTATTTCATCCCATCTTCTTTTGTTACTTCATTTTTATTTGTGGCTTTATTGATCATATCTGTTCTCAGTTCTTCAGTTTGAAATATTTGTTAATGTCCTTTAGATATGCCTGTGAAACTCCTTTAACAATAAAAATAATAATTTGATGCCTTCTTTCCGTTTTTTAACTTCAGCTTCAAGTTTGCATTTTCCATTGGTTTATGTGACTTGATTCCAAAGAGACTTAACTATATGCCAGTTAGTCAGAGGTTCAGATTCTCTCAAGTCTTTTATAGCAGAGAGAAAGAAATGGCTTACTCTGAAAATCCTGTTACCATCTTTTGGTATGTGGTTTAAGTGGTCATGGAAGGATTTGTAGACACTAGAACCATGTCTCTGTTTCCCTCTTTTAGTTCTTTTAGTAATATTCTGTTTTCATTATCATGGCAAACTCAAATCTAAACAGAAAGCTATAGCAGCGAATCTTTTCCAGCAAAATCTCTTCCAGCGAAAATTCTGAATACTCAGATTGTAGGGACATTAATACTGTTAGGAATTCAATAAATAGTCCTTATGGATAGGGGTGTGAGGGCTGGTGGCTAGGGAGTGAATGTGCTTCATATCTCAGTTGAAGTGTTGAAAAAATATTTTTATATAGAAACATTTTTAGTTGCATTCATATAATGGCATTTGAGAGCCTACTATGTACCAGACAGTGCTGGGCAGTGGAAATACAAAGATATAAATGAAAAATGTGCTTCTGGCCTTAAATTACTTACAGAATAGTACAGAAGGTAAATGTAAACAGACAATGGCAGGTAGTTGGATGATAAATATGACCAAGTACTATGGGTTTAAGAAAGACCCATTAAACCCTGGGGGAATAACTAAAAGTTTCACATGGTAGGTGACTCTCAGGCTGTTCTGTTTCTGTGAAGCTTTTTACAAGGCAGAGGGAACAGTATATGCAGAAGCATGAGAGAGTAGACTGGGTGGAGTTGGGAAGGACACATTCAGCAGGACCCAAGGATAGTATCCAGAGGCCTTTGAGTAATAGTATTGTGTTTAATAAATATTGTTGGCTAGAAGGATGAATAAAAGAATGGACATTATGCACACATCAGGCACTCATATATGATCTGAGGGAGAATAACTACTTTCTTTGGGAATGTGTATTCTAAATTTCTGCTTAAAAATCTTTAAAATGTAGTCCTTGTTTATAGTGGGTAAGGCTTATTCTCAATGAAATATCAATACTTGTTTATCTAAGGGATTTTGCCTGCCAGTTAGTTATGCAAAGAACAGTGTATTTTCAGCACTGGAAGTACTAAAATGTAATGCTTCTTAGAAATGAAAAGTAAGTGATCTAATTCAACATTTCTATTCACCTGGATAGTGTTACTGCTTATTCTTTTGTCATCCTGTTTAGTAGTTCTTTTATTTCATCCAAGCTAGCAGTCTCAAAGTAAGGGTACACACCCCAGGGAGTACACAAGACAATTTATTTTGGGATATAGGAAGAAAATATTAGCATTTCTAATTACAGTTGACTGTGTAACAGTATGGGTTTGAGCTGCATGGGTCCACTTATATGCAGATTTATTTTCAAGAATTGAAAATACACTGTAATATATTTTCTCTTAGAATTTCCTTAATATTTTCTTTTCTCAAGCTTACTTTATTGTAAGAATATAGTATATAATATATAACATACAAAATATGTGTTAATTGACTATCATAAGTAAGGCTTTCAGTCAAGAGTACGCTATTAGTAGTTAAGTTTTGAGGAGTCAAAAGTTGTGTGTTTTTGACTGCTTGGCAGAGAGAGGGAGTTGGTGCCCCTGACTCCTGCACTGTTCAGGTGTCAACTGTATATTCTTATGCCAATTATTTAATTTCTATTTTGGTGTCTAACACGTATATACACATACACATGCGCACACATGTGTTATATTTATATACAACACATGTGTACACACACACACAAATAAAAAAAGGGGGGAGTTTACATGCTCCCCCCTTCTCTTTCCATTTTTTCCTGGCATGTGTGACTAGACAGGTTGGAAATCACAGAATTTAATTCATCTGTCCAAAATGTTTTCTAAGGGAACTTCAAATATTTAAAAATTCTATCTGGGCTTTTTAAATAAGAATGTACCTCATTTAATGCCATTTTAAAAGAAACACTTTAATGAAGTAGAAATAATAGGTTGTAACTCATATTTAGTAATGAATGTGCACTTGTGAATATTTTAAATAGATTTTTTGCACTGAAATAACTTTCAAAGAACAAGCCACAGCATCTTTTCTTGGTGAGATGATAATGAGTTCCATAAACATTCTTCCTGGATCAGCCCTTTATCTGATACTTCCCTCCTAAGTTGGTTACAAATCACTATGGCAAAGACACTGTCAAGTATAGGATGTCACCCACTCCTTCTCTGGGGTTATTGGGCATAATTCTGGCATCTGGAGTCGGCTGTGGTGTATTTGTTCTGGGGTTTTCTCTGTTCAGCCTTCTGCTTTGGATTTTCTATATTTTAGCTACCATCTTCTTACTATGTTCTATTCTAGTCTCACTTTTTGTTGGCAGTGTAGTGTGAGTCATTTGTATACCCCAGCAGGAGAGTGCACTGCACCATTGCCCATGGCAGTACTAAAGGAGATGATTTTTTGCTCCAAGGTACTTTGCAAGATGATTTTTCTCTAGCTCAGGTTTTGACACTTTCCTTCCTTCCTCCCTCCCTTTCTCTCTTCCTCCCTCCCTCCCTCCCTCCTTCCTTTTCTTTCTCCCCCCTCCCTTCCATCTTCCTTATCTCCCAACTTAGTCTAATTGGCCTGTCACTTGTATAACTTCCACTCACAACTGAGGCATGTGGTGTAGCTTCAAATCAGGGTAATAGTCATCACACACCTCTTATGTTGAATAAAACAAATAGAGGATGCATATTATAAAAACATAATTTTTTGAAAATGTTAGACTGCTTAGAATTCTTTTAGTGATTTAGGAGATTATTTACAGTTTGATTTCGTTTTAGAATTTTGGTAATTATCATTAGTTGTAGTTTCCTTGTATTTCGGCATTCTTACTTGTAGCCAGTTGTCTTTTCCATTTATCTTTGATTATATTTTTAAGGCCCTGATGGGTGTATGTCCATTAACTTCTGGATTTTCAGGACTTAATTGAAAATGAAACCATTTCTATGGTTTTTCATAGTTGTCAAGTGCTCTTCTGTTTTCATAAGTGTTGTCTTTCTCCTGCAATAGTAAATATTTCAGTTTATGTAACCAGTGATGCCACGCTGAAAGCAACATATGAACTGCTGTACCATCTTGCATTCTGGGTGCTAAGTACTCATCCAGTAATCTTTTAGGTCAAGTTACCATTTTTCCTCTATTTAGAGTAAGATGTGGGAACTGAAAGTTAATTTTCTTGTTCCGATGCCTTTGTTAAGGGCCTGGCTTAGAACATGTTATAATTCTTCCAGGCCTATCGTTAGGTCACTTACCTTTGTCTCTTTGCTGAAAAAGATGCCCCAGCCTCACTAAGAAGAATGTGAACAGGCATTTATAATTATTCAGAGTGGCATCTTAGGTAGCCAGACCACTTCTTTATGTTTTTGTATATACGTTGAAGGATGAAACGACTGCTTAGATGATACTCTCTCCTGGATGAAAATTCTTTTTAAATGTTGATTTTAGAAACCACATCTCTTTCAGAAATAATACGTTTGCCATTTTGGCTGCTGTTTAAGAAGAAAGTATCCTGAGTAGTACATAAGTTCATTATCTTGTATTATTTTAATTCAAATCTTAACGATCTGATTGCATGTTATGGAAACCAAGTATCTGTTCTACTAGCTCCAAAATCACATCCTGTTTGCAAAACCTGTTTACATAGGACTTTAAAGAGACACTGTTAGAAGATATTGTCAATGCATTCTTCCTACCACTCCAACCCCAAAGCCTGAAGAAATAGTCAACTTTTATTTTCATTAGCTGTATCTTTTCTTCTGTGAATTTATTTCTGCCCTATTAGCAACAAGTAATGTTTACTCTATAACTTGATCCACAAGTGTTTGCAACTTATATACAATGCTTACTCCTGCATACTGTACAAAGTAGTCTTCAACCCACAAAAGTGGCCCTGTCTGTACTGAAAGCATTGTCTGTGCCCAGTGTGCTTCTGAAAGAGTCCATGTCTCTGAGTTACCAGCCTGGTCTCTTTAATACTGTATCAGATGTCTTTTGTGATGTATTTATCAAAACAGGTTATATATAAAGATTCATTGCATTTTTTCAAGTCTTCTTTTGAACTCTTCTACAGGAAACCATGATTATTGGTGGCTGTTGGCAGCTTAGTTTTTTAGTCAAACATGCATTATGTCTACATGACATCTTTTTCATACTTTATACTTACAGGTTGTTGGCTTGTTCCCACGTGTTTCTTATTATAAAGTTCTTGAGCAATTTCCTGAAAAATACGCCTAACACTCTTTTTCTGTAAATATAAATGAGAGAAAAAAAATGCCTCTGTCTTAGGACTAGAAGCGATAGATGTTGCATCTCACCAAGCTCCCTCTCCCCTCCTCCAGCATACCTGCTCCTACCTGTAACTGGTATTTTGAATATATTAAATAGAATTTATGGCTAAAAACTATCAAGTTTAAATCCCAGTTTAGCATTTGAGTTATCATTGAGTTTCTCAACAATAGGAAACAGTAGCTATTAGGGTTGAAAGTTACCATAATGCTCTCTGTTTCTTATACTGTTTCAGATTTGAAATAGTTACAACCAGCCACAATTAAAAGATATTTTACAAGCACTGGTATCTATACCTTTTGTGAATCTTCTGTTTCTTTGCTTCTTAGAGTGTTAGATTTTAACTGTCAAGAAGAAAAGGAAAGTCTTAAAAGACATTTTATGTACTCAAAACAATTGCGGCAGACATCTCCTACCATAAGATTGAAAGTTAATATTTAATGCTATACTGTAAGACTTAATAATTTTCATGCCACTTTTGAGATGCTTATAATAATAAAAAAACTCAGACTGATATTGGTTGTTGGATTTATAGTAATCCTAATATACATACAAACCCTGCTTATAGCACATGAGCAGCCAGGAGATACTTTTAAAAGGCCTAACGTTTTTGAGAAAAGGTATTTTAGGGCGGCTTCTAATCCATTTGTTCACCCCTGTTTTGCTCATTCTTAAACCTTTCTTCCCCCACCCCCAGCAGAAAGATAGCATATAAGATGGGTATAAAGAAGGGTTCCCTATTCCCATATTACTGGGTTTTAAAGAGAAGACATTATGTATTCTGGTCAGTAATAATTTCTGTGTTGAAAACATATGCTTTTTTTATGACCTCTCCTGCCGGCATCGTTTCCTGCAGCTATGCAGGAAGATGTTAATTGGATGAGCTATTTCTGAGGCTCATATGAGGAGAGGTAGGAATCCAGATGCAAGGGAATTTAACTTACTTTGGAGAGGATGATGAAGATCATCAGTACACCAGCAACATAGATGGAGAGCAGTGATAACAGAGCTATCAGGAGACCCTGTAGTTCCTTGCCTAGACCTTTCATTTCTTGTTAATTACAAAAACAGAGAAAGTCACAGTCACTATTGAAACTTATTACTGCAAGTATATATTTTTAAAGTTTAACTGAAACTATATTTTACAGGTGAAACATGAACTTACTCTGCTTGACGATGCATAAAGATTTATTTTTGTCTTTTGATTCAAAAGACACTCAAGTATATCATATAGTTAAAGCCAGTTCAACAGTTTTTAAAATGTATTATACTAAAAATGTTGTTTTTACAGTTAAAAATTTTTAAAAATTCAATTTCCATAATGATAAAAATTTTTATATAAAGCATTACTTAAAGTTAGGTAAACATTTTAAGATAGTTGTTCAAGGGTATTTGTGATTTCTTTTTTTTTAAGATTTTATTTATTTTTAGAGAGAGGGGGAGAGAGGGAGAGAAACATCAGTGTGTGGTTGCCTCTTGTGCACCCCCAACTGGGGACCTGGCCCGCAACTCAAGCATGTGCCCTGATGGGGGAATCGATCCAGTGACCCTTTGGTTCATAGGACAGCACTCAGTCTACTGAGCCACACTAGCCAGGGGTACTTTTATGATTTTTGGGGGTAGAAATGATGTACAGCATCACTAAGAGTATGTTTATGGAGTGAAAGAGATATTTCCCCTGCATTTGTTAATGCCGACATTTATAACCTTGAGCCATTCAGTAGCTGAGTAGTGCATGACCTGAGAAGGCCATGTGCTGAGGATCTTAGTGCTCACTAGGCACTTGAAAGACGAGTGTTGTTCCATGTTTCCCTTCTTGCTAATAAAGTCTTGGAGGTAGAATTATTAAATCCATTTTCCCATTCTGATTTCTCCCTCCTTATAGGAAGTGTCCCGTGCTATATGTGGGGGTGGGTAACATGCTATGTCTTCAAGTACTTCATTATTTGAAGTACAAAATACAATTTGATTTGTAGTCTTCTGAATAACCTGAACTTTTAAACTAAATATCCCATAAATGCTTATTTTGTGAGCTCAGTTTATACAACAATACTTTTGTTCTGAAACTAACACATCTGTAAAGCTTTAAAAAAATGTTTCAAGGGCTAAATTAGGAGTTCCACAGAAAATGCAGGAAATTTTTGTGTCTATATTGGTGATACTTTCATCTGTGCTCCTAAACAAAAATTTCTCTTAACATGAGATTGCAGTTTTGGGACCTTTATCTTCTTCAAACACTTTTTTCTTTTGGCTAACATTTTTTTTTTTAATAGAAGACTAATGCAGTGAGCTATATGAATCTCCAAAGCTGTTGTGTTTTTGTTTTAATATCTGTGGCTAACATTTACCAAGTACTTGCTATAAGCCAGGCACCATTAAAAGTACTTTATGTATATTAATTCATTTATGATTTATCTTACAGGAGAGAATCAAATAGGGTGAAATGGCAGTGGACTGTCAAAAGCCCCTGGGAACACTCCTAGTAATTGAAAGCGGGGATTCTAACACAGCAGAGCTCAGGCCCTCAAAGTCCTGTGTAAGTGAGTTCGCATTTCCATGATCTCAGTGCTCATCATACTGGAGTCCTTTTTAAGGGAAGAGATAAAAAAAAAAGTCAAGGAGTTACTGTCCTCTCTTCCTTTCCCCAAAATTATGTGCAGCATTTTTCCTGAAATTTAAAAATTTAGTTTCTTAATATATAGGACTTAGGTTCAGTATCTTCACTTGAATGAAGAAATTGTCATGGTTTTAACAAATCTCAAGCAGCCATAGTCACTCCAGCCCCTTTGTCTTCTGTCCACCCAGAATGGTAGGGTCAGGTACACCGCTGTGGCTTCTGTTCGAATTTGTATTTATTCTCTGTAACACATATTTTTCTGAGTCCAATTTATGATCACTTATGCACTCCTCCAGTGCTTTGTTCTAAATGGTGGAGTACCAGGCCAGTTCCTGAGAAAGCTGATGGTAACCATCACACATTTCCCTTTGGCCTCAGTACGTCACACCGCTCACCATAATAGACAGAAAGGTCACCCTCACTAATAACATCTGGACTTGGGGAGAAAACATAATGCTCAACATACCCCCAACTTTGTGGAGGCTGGAGAGGGTGTCACAGTGGTTTTTTAATCAAACTGCATGTCAGCTTGTGCTAGGGTCATGGCCCTTCCCTGGCTAGAGTATTAACCAAGCAGAGTTCTGTCATAGTCTGTGTGTGTAAGTTGTGTAACACATTTAATTGACTGAGCAAATGCAGTGTACCACAGTACAGCCATGACCGACTAACCTCTCACCACCAGCACAGTCCCGGCTCCGGTTTGCTTGGCCCTCGGGTCCTGTGAACTGGAAAAGGCTATTCCACAGATGTAGATGGCACTGTCATTGGATGTCAACCTGTTGACTGTGAGGGAGACCTGGTTTTGTGCCAGGTCCTTCCTCACTGTAAATTTATCTGCCTCACTTGTGCACCCATCCAAGCAGAGGGTCTCTGGCTGGTGAGCTCCATAGCGAAACCACAGGTTGCTGGGTTGCTTGTGGGGGCACTCCACTGTGGAGAAGGTGCAGAGCATGGTCACAGCCTTTTGAGTGTAGTCCACTTCGAGGACAGACGGTTGAAAGACAGAGATTGTACACTCGCCCGCAGCACCTGTGGGAGGAAGACAGCCTGTGCTTCTATCTTGCTAACATTTGTGGGCTCAGAACCTCCAAATTTCTTTTTCTAACCTTAACTCCCAGCTCAAACAAGACTGTAAAATATAATAAGACATCACTGGTCCTCACTTTTCCTAACTCCCCATGTTTCTTGACCCTAAGCTGCTGGTTCACAGTGATGTCTGGTTACGTGGATACCACCTCAGAAAAGTTCCAGTGGGATCAGTCTTGGGACCAGAGATGGCCACAGTTCCAGGTCAGAAGTTCAGAGTCCCCATGTTCACCCTAGGTGGACTGACAGGCTTTCCTGGGATCTTTCAGAGCCTGCGTCCTCATCTGTAGCCCTGACCTCGCAGGACTGTTGTGTTCAGTGTGGTTCTGGGATCAAAGCCCTCATGCCAATGTTGCTTCTATGGCTGAACCACCTGAGCAGTAGGCACTTGGGGGTTTTGCCTTGTGGGGGTTGGGATTGCTAGGAATTTATGGCAGTTCACAATTGTCCCTTTGTGAAACACTGTCCCTATGGGAAATAACTATAAAAGAAAGGTATGCACCTGGGGAAATGCCTCCTGAGTGGGCCATGTCTGGGCTAAGCACACTGATTTCTCCTGCATCTTTATCACTGCTTTGTAGTCCTTGTAGCTTCTTCGATGAACAGTATCATGATAAAGGGCACAGACTTGAGTTGGGATCCCAGCTCTGCCATCTCTATATTCTGTGCCTTTCAGCTTCCTCATTAAAAGAATGGGGTAGTATTCTGCACCTTGTGGGGTCAGTGGGATGTTTGAAACGATTGATGTAGGAGGATTAACTTGTGTAACCCTACTAGTTCTGGGTTGTAGGAAGTACTGGGTTGGCCAAAAAGTTCATTACATTTTTTCCATACAGTGGCTCTAGTAGTACTTAGTTGTCTCTAACTTCATTCCAAACAATTTGGTTAGATTCTGTGTGACAGCTGTCATGTCAGCGTGTACTTTAAAAACCTCATGAAAATTCGTGACTTTTTGTGCAGTCATTTTAATATTGAAGATAGAAGAAAATACACAACTTTTAGTGTGTAATGCTTTATTATTTCAAGAAAGGTAAAATGCAACTGAAACGCAGAAAAAAATTGGTGCAGTGTATGGATAAGATGCTGTGACTGATCAAATGTTTCAAAAGTGATTTGCGAAGTTTCTTGGTACTATTGACATTTTGTCCAAATAATTCTTTGATGTAGGACTGTCTTACACATTGGAAGATGTTCAGCAGCACCTCTGACCTCTACCCACTACAAGCCAATAGCAGGAGATAGCCAGTATACTCAAAATTTCCAAATTAATAAAGTTATTGGTGAAAATGAAAAATGTGTATTTTATTTTATGGGAAAAACATAATGGACTTTTTGGCCAACCCAATATTTAAGAACAGATAGAGAATTTCTGCTGCCTGTACCACTTTTCCTACTTCCACAGTGTTATATGCCCATTTCGGAGATAATTGTGGATGTCCCAGCAAGGTGTTAGCAGGCCTGGGACTGGACACCCAAGCCAGGGCCCTCTCCACCATGTCATGCTGCTTTCCAAGTCACACACCTTGACCTTATCCTGGGCCTGTGAAGCTGGAAAGCCACTCAGGTGTTTATAAATGGAAGTTCTGCCCTAAATTTTTTTTTATTTTTGCCAGTTTTTAGTTTGACTTCTACCTGGTTGTGTGTTTACAAATGGTCTTATTTGTGTGAGTCTGTAAATGAAATAGAAGAATTATCTAGCTGGCCTGATGCTTATGTTTCAGATGGGCTTTGTCACTTAACATTTTCTTACAGGTCTTGTTGTGAGGCACATCTGTGCTCACCATATTTTAATTTTTATATTTGTACAATTCAAGATGAGCCAGGAACTTTTTAGTGACTTGAGAAATATAAATCATGTGTGAGGGTTAGGTCACCTAGAGAAGACCAGCTGAGAGTACTGCTAAGCATCATAAATAGTCCCTCACGCTTCCTGCCTAGACTGCCACCTTAGAAGCCTAGACAAACACCTTATAGCGTGTAACGAATGATTGTTGTATCTTGGAAGTTTGAATTGGAATTGGGTCTGTCAAAACATAAGAATTAGCCAACAATGTCTCAATTCCAAGTCCTCTGTCTGATGGAGTTCTTAAAAGAGAAGCTGGCTTTTAACACTTTCCTTGGAGAGCTAATGCCCCATGGTAAAAGAAATATTTGCAACTCTGGGGTTTTATGTCTCTGCCTCTTCCCCAGTTCTGCGAAATGAGTCTGCATGGGAGCAAACCAGTTGTAGGGTTTCCTATGAGAGCACAGACTTATGAGGAAGTGTCTGTTTCTTCCCCGCACCAGTTAGGCAACGTGTATCAAAAAAGAGAACTTTGGATAATATGTCACACCACAGCCTGCTCCTGTGAAGAATTTCTCTTTAAGAACTCTCATGTTGTGTAGGATTTTTTTAAAGCACAGAACCCTCCAAAAAGGTTGAAAGTTTATCTCCCTGGAGGAGGGGATTAAAAAAGATTACTATTTTTAAAAACAAAACTAGAAAATACATGGAAAACTAATTTTTGACACTGAATAAAAGCCTTTTACAGACAATTTCAAACATGCAGAAGTAGTAGCAGGCTAGCTCAGTGAGCTCCCTGCCATTGCTGGCTCCAGCCCCACTTTGCATCCTCCCCACTGGCTCAGTCCTCCCCTTGGGCTCCTTCACTCCCATGGTGTTTTAGGGCAGATCCCAGACATTGCAGCAGCTTATCTTTCAGAGTACATCTTTAAAAGATCAGGATTCTTCTTTAAAATAACACTAGTTAAAAGTTTATAAAACTAATATGTATTTAATAGAAAAATACAGACTATTACTGAAAGTAGAAGCGAGAAATCACTCAGTTCTTTCGCCCAAAATATCCACTGTTAAAATTTATGTATTTCACAGATGAAAAAATTAAGAGGTTTAGCTGCCTTCTCTGTTCTACGACCCAAATTTTGTGGGCAAATCTGAAATCAGTAGATTTATTAGAACTGTGATGAAATCATTAGAACTGTGAGGTGGGAAACACTTTCTTTTTCATGGGTGAAAAACAGATGTAGGGAGAATTTAAAAATGGATTTATTATAGGATGGTTATTTTCTGGAAAGAAGCCATGACAACTTTTTTCCCAGATAATTACTGTCTAATTTAGAGAAATTCGGCTTTTCAGAAGCATTGTTCTCTGAAAGTACTCAAGTATTGTTCAGTGCCTCTATGTGCTGAGTAAGTTTGGGAACTCATCGTATGGAAAGTAAATTGTTGATGACTAGCACATGGGATTTTAGGAATATTTCAACCCTTTGGTGAGGTGCTATCTCTATAAAGCAGCGTAATAGCAAAAGGAATTTTTCAGTGTTAACATGAAACTTTTTCAGCTATTCTTTTATCACCTATTTTCCTAGGGGAAAAGGAAACTTACCACTTTAGACAATTTCCATAGTGTTTACATTTAAAAATTAATCTGTAGGGGCTTAAAATATAAACGCGTTAGGCAAAAACTAGCAGTTGATTTAAATAAAATGGAAGAGAGAAAGAGAGAAAAAAAAAGAACCTTACCGACATAAAACAGAATCAGACTGATTTCCAGACCGAGAATGATCTTGACCGCGCTCACAGCTTCCATTTCTGTGTGTGTGTGGTGAGGAGTATGCATTTAAGAAAGTTGGCTTTTTTTTTTTTTTCCTCTTTTTAGAAAGGAAGAACTGAAGAGAGGAACTCTTATTAAGGAACCATGATCAGGAACTTTTTGAAATTGTGTAAATATTGTTTGTAACCCAGTTTCACCATTTAAAGTTGAGATTTTAGCCTATAGCATATTTCTAAATGTTCATATGATAATTTTTCCTTGGATTTTACAAATCCTCACAGGCATTAGATGGTTTGAGTGAGACTGTGATTTATGCATATTCCCAGAAAGGAGTGTTGTTTGACATATAATTGATCCTTTAAATTTCCAGAGCTGTCACCTCTGGTCCTGGGGCACCTACTGTGTGTGCTCAGTGCTGGGCCAGTAACTGCTGAGAATGGAGAAGCAGAAGGAAGTGTCTTCATATAGAGACAATGGGAAGATTAGTGAAGAATAATTGTATTGTAGCACAATGAAAAATAAGCTGTGTGCCATTAAGTAGTTGTGCCCGGTTTTGTGTGACCCCTTTTTGATGTTCTATGAAACAGATGTGTGGAATCTCTGTCATCTTATACCTTCCCCAGACCCGTGCCACCCACTCTTGGAAGTTCTTCGTAAGCAGCAGAAAATGACCCTACTGAGTAAAGAAAGGGGAACTTATGGAAAGGATTTGGGATAGGTGGTTACAGAGTCACTGGGAGTACTGGAGGGTCATATGTGGGGGCCGCAGCCAAGAAAAATGCCCCATATCACGCCATCAGACTCATCTGAAGCTGACAATACCACACCGAACACCAGATGTCCTGGTGTGGACCAGACTTTTTTAGTACTGCCCAGTGCTGGCCCCGCCGAGGCTCACTGCTACTGCTCCACCCCCAGAGAAGGAGCTTCAGGCCCCACTCCTGGATTACTAGCTCTTCATCCCAGGGCTAGATGAGTGTGTCATCTCAGGCCAGATGTCTAGTGCCTTAGTGACAACAAAGGCTGGGGAAAGCTGCTTGCTTCCCAGGCTTTGCCTGCCACCAAGACTCCGGGACAAGATTCAGGTGCTGGGCCACTGAAAAGAATGAAAATCTTTCCACTATAATGTTTGTACTCTTGGCACCTGTCAGTTATATATTTTCTCATTTACACAAAGTTATTCCCAATCTGAATTTAGTAATATTTTTAGTATATGTGTGTTTATATCACCATAGTAAAGGTACCCCGTATTTATATGTACCATTATCTGTGTGTATCTCTATTTATAGTCAATACTTGGTGTGGATGTGAACTTGAAGACCTTATCATCCCCCTTCTCCCCCACCCACCTCCCCCACATTTGATACTCATAGATGTGGAAATGACTGACATTGACTCCAGTCACTATTCTAAGACATGCTGGGGTGATTCATTCATTTTAGTGTTCTTCCTCTCTATGATCCTGGAGCTTAACATTTATGAAATTGTTTTGGTAAGTTAGGAAGTGGATCAGCTTCCCTTGAAAAACACATTGATTATTTTTATAAATTAAAGTAACCTAGTTTTATTTTCAACCTCACAAACCTCTATAGTTAATAATGTTGCATAAGTTTATTACATTACTGGTATTTTTTTAGCACTTACCCAAAACCCTTTTTCAAATATCATGTGTTACTCCTTGCTTCAGTATTCTAGTATTTAATGAGCAGTTTTCCAAACTATTAACCATTATACCCTTGTGGATCAGTCAAAGGGAGGGTGAAATCTGAAACTCTGCCAGAGAAGGTAATAGTACATACAGGCTTTGGGTCCAGATAAACCTGATATTACCTTTCTGCTCTGACACTCATTAGCCTTGTAAGCTTAGGCTCCTTTAGCCCTTTGAAGCCTGTACCTTTTCTCTGTCCACCTACCTCAGGGGTACCTGGCAGGTGAGTCACAAAAGCACACAGCGCTCGGCACAGAATCTTCCCTTCTTCCCTCTTTAAATAACTAGTATGTTCAAGAATTTAACTTAATGTTTTTATTTGTTTTAGTAGGTGGCAAGTGGGAGAAACCATCAGAAATTTTGGAAATCAAGGGACAGAACTGGGAAGAACAAGTGAATAGTCTGCCTGAAGTTTTCAGGAAAGCGGGTTTTGTTATTGAAGCTTTCACCAGACTGCCGTACCTGTGTGAAGGGGACATGTATAATGACTACTATGTTCTGGATGACGCTGTCTTTGTGCTCAAACCAGTGTAAACCTGTGGAGGCTGCAGTCTGCAGAGTCTTCCTGGAAAGGGTCTGTGTTCTCCATTACGTGAAGGGTGGACCTCTGGGGACTGTCGTTCTAAATATCATGTAGGAATTTAAAAAGCCAAAATACTAATTATTTCTTTGTAGTGTGTAAAATGAATTTTTTAAAAAAGAAAAACCCAACTCTGAGGACTTTTATCAGTTCTTAATAATGCAGGTCTCACTCCAATTACGGAAGCTATTTTTTATACTTAATCGTAGTGGGGGACACCCCCCCATGTCCAAGCAATAGCCATGATTCCAAATGGAAACAATAGGTATGGATTGTTTTTAATAAAATGAAGACTGGCAATAAAGGCATTCATTCAGCTGCAAATACTGTTTATAAGGTATAGCCACTGGTACTCTTTCATGTTTAGACATTCTTTCTGTCATTATTCAAGAAAATGTTTTTAATCATGCTAATAAACTTTTTTGGAAATGACTTTGGTATGAGGTTTGAGTTCATGTAAGGCTCTCCCCTAGCACCACTTACTGCTTTGATTTCAGGGTTCCCCACATAGTAGTACTGTGTGAAAAATGCAATTGACTTGAACATGCGATGAAGAAAGGCTTCACATGAGAGGGCTGGGGGTTGTTACAAATCGTGAACACCAAGGCAGTCTAGACCAACGCTCAAAAGAATAACCTCATTCAGGTATAGTACTTCAGGGACTACCCACTCCCTAGTTTATGTTGCTTTGGGAAATGCAAAACACTGGGTTCTGACTTTGCAATAGCTAACATCCTACACTCAGAACTTTGTTGTTCTGGACAGTCTCAGGTTCTCAGAGTTGAAACATGCAGTTGTGTCTACCAAAAAAAAAAAAAAAAATGCAACCTGAAGATGTTTTCTTTCAACTTTTTACTCTATATTTGTATACTTCTTTCCCAGAGTTTGGTTCTTCCTAAAATCCTTGACTGAATTTATTATTTGCCAAGAGAATGGATTGATGGAGACGATGTCAGACTTGTGCATTCTAGAATCCGTGAATGCTTCCAATCATTTATCCAGAAATGTGGCAGTCTAGGAACTCATTAGCTGATCAATAACCATTGTGGGTATTCCAAAGAGTAGAGCACTTAACCAGAATCTAAAATCTTAGTAATAGCAGAGATGCCGATTTGAGATTGCAGTTATTAACAATGTTATTTTGACAACTTTATTGTTTTTCAGCCAAGTGTTTCATTAAATATTCCCATTTATATGCTCATAGAAGTAATCAAATCAACACATTTACTGCAACAACTGGGTATAAAGGAGAATTAAAGCCTTGAGGAGAATTACTTTACTATTCATTAAGAATGGCACTCCTACATCCTCACACCAGTATCTACCATTGTTACTGTGTAGTTGTAATGAGTTTGGTTATGTGATTTATGCATAATTGTTGCTTCCTTTTAATTCTTTTTTCCAGAAATTCATGTAAGTGAAGAGCAAATACTTAGCACCCTATTTTGTAAAAATAGAAGGAGGAAATGACTAAACTTAGCGTAGTTGTACATTTGAGGTTTTCTTCTTTATGAACTGTCTGTAATAGTCAGGGGTTGCTATTTAGACTGTCGAGCAAGAGTGTAAAAGTGATGGATGTTCCAAAGCCAGGCTGCCCCAAAGTTTTTCATAATTTTGAGACTTAATTTGCAGATCCGTTAAAAAAAAAAGAAACAAAACCTAAACACTTTACTCAAAAATGCAGAGAAAACATATTTATGCATTTCACGGATAAAAATCTTTTCTTAAAATCTGAGGTTCTCTGAAGTTCAGCTTTTCAAAAGTGATGTTTTATGGTGAAAATTTAAACCAGCAAATCTGCTCACATTTCATAGCTGGTCCTAGAAGTCCTGGTGGTATGCCACCATTTCACTAGGTGGCAGTGTTGGTTATTCAGTGTCAATGGCTTTTTTTTTTTCTTTTGCCCTACATGGGATTAAGTTTTTTTCCCCAAAGTAAAATAAAGCTGCCTTCTTGTCTGCACCATTCCTTGTGTAAGTGCTTCACATTGAGTTCAGGTTATGCTAGAGAGATGAAGAGGTCTGTGTATGATCAAAGCAAGCTATTTGACCCTAGGTCATGGAGAAAGGAAATGCAAGCTGCACCTTTGAATCCTAACCCCTTGCACCTGTGGCTGTAAGCCCCTCGGTACTTAGACCACTGATTTCAAAGAAGGGAGGGAAAGAAGAGACAACACCCTTAGTCATTTATCCCTTGTGCAGAGGTAGTTAAAAGCCACAGTGTATTTTCTATGCTTCTGGAAGTCATATCAGTTTTTTCATAGTTGGCCTTTAACAGAAAAGAAGCTGGGTTGGGAAATAAAACTTCATTGTTTCAAGTCATCTTTCTAAGTAAAGCTTTGTTTTTACTTTGTTCTGAGTATAGTATTTAAATAGAATATAGTATTTAAATGAAGCAAGGTGTTTGACCAATTGCTTCCCACCACTTGGTGACTAATGAAGTTTCATATCTTTTTTTTCTCTAACAATTACAGCACATTGAACATGGTCTTCCAGAGGCTAAAGTGACCTACCACATTTGTGCAGGTACCTACAAACCCTTAAATAAATTTATATTTAGTGCTCCCATGTCACAGCTGGAAGTCAGTACAGTGAGTCAAGGCTGTCTGATCTTTGCACTGCCTAGGAGTCCACTGAGCACAAAATTAGGTTCACTATTGACTCAAGAGGATGCTCACAAACTTACAATTCATTTATCAAAGGTATAAAATCGGAAATTGTCAGAAGTTTACACTGTATCCACAATAACAAACATTTGTGATCTAAGTGAAAAAAGGCACCCTTAAAGGATTGTTAAGGAAATGGTACTGCAATATAATTCAACAGCCTGCCTTTTTGCAATTAGTGGATTATGAGAAAATAGCTAGGCAATAGTGAACAGTACAATAAAAATTTCACATCTATAGCTATCTGTATTGGCATTCACATTTTCCTACTTGCTTGGTTAATTCTAATGTATTTGCATTTTCTTTGCCATCTGTGTAGGAATTCTAACTTCATTTTTAGTTGTTTGCTTTTAAAAAAATCATTTATTTTTTATCTTGACTTTTTTTTCATTGCTTTCAGAGAGAGAGGGAGGGAGAGAGACACAGAGAGAGAGAAACATCAATTAGTTGCCGTCTTGTGCGCACCCCCACTGGGGCTTGAACCTGCAACCTGGGTATACAGTCTGGCCAGAAATTGAACCTGTGACTTTTTGGTCTGTGGGATGACACCCAACTAACAGCCACACCAGCCAGGGCTAAAGCTTATTTTAAAGTAAACTTTTATTTTGTAATAGTGTTAGATTTAGAGAAATCTTACAAAGGTAGTACAGATAGTTCCTGTATACCCTTTACCTAGTTTCTCTAATTTTAACATCTTATGTAGGTCATGGTATATATGTCAAAACTAAGAAGTTAACATTGGCACTTTAGTATTAAGTACACTAGAGGCTATTGGCCCATTTTTTTCGTTAATGAACTTTTCTGTTCTAGGAGGCAATTCAGGACACCACATCCTGTTTAGTTGCTTTTAAAATTATTAGTTTATTGGCACAGTATCATTATTTGTTAGCCTTCCATTTTTTATTGTAATAAAATACGCATAAAATTACCATCTTAACCATTTTCAGGTGTATAGTTCAGTGATATTTAGTACATTCACAGTGTGCAGCCATCACCACCATCCATCTTTAGAACTCTCACCTGGAAAAACCCCACTAAATACTAACTCCCATTCCTTCTTTCCTCAGCCTAAGGCACCATCACATCATTCTAGTTTTCTATGAATCTGACAACTAGGTTCTTTATGTAAGTGAAATCATATAATAATTGTTTTGCATCTGACTTATTTCACATAGCATGATGTTCCCATTTCTCAGTTACAGTTGACATACAATATTGTATTACTTTCAGGTGTACATCTCAGTGGTTAGACATTATATAACTTTCTAAGTGATCATCCTGAGAAATCTCATATTCATTTGACCCCATGCATAGTTATTAGGATATTATTGACTATATTCCATATGTTGTACTTTACATCTGTGTGATTATTCTGTAACAACAAATTTGTACTTCTTAATCCCTTTACCTTTTTCATCCATCCCCCCAAGTCCCCTCTCATCTAGCAACCATCAAAAATTTTCTCTGTGTCCTATGAGTCTGTTTCTGTTCTTTGTTTATTTTGGGTTTGTTTTTTAGATTCATTTGTTGAGTAGATATGTATTGCCATTTTACTGTTCATGTTTTTGATATTTTTTCTTAAAGAAGACCCTTTAACATTTCACATAATAATAGTTTGATGGTGATAAAGTCCTTCAATTTTTTCTTGTCTGGGAAGATCTTTGTCCTTCGATTCTAAATGATAGCTTTGCTGGGTAGAGTAATCTTGGTTGTAGGCCAACCAAGCTTTTCTTCACTTTGGATATTTCTTGCCAATCCCTTATAACCTGCAAAGTTACTGTTGAGCTCCCTTGTAAGTAACTAACTGCTTTTCTCTTGCTGCTTTTAAGATTCTCTCTTTGTCTTTAACCCTTTGCATTTTAATTAATATGTGTCTTGGTGTGGGCCTCTTTGGGTTCATTTTGTTTAGGACTCTGTAATTCCTGGAATTGTGTGTCTATTTACTGGGTTAGGAAAGTTTTCTGTCACCATTTTTTCAAATAGGTTTTCAATTTCTTGCTCTCTCTCTTCTCCTTCCTGCACCCCCATGATGTGAATATTGGTATGCTTGAAGTTGTCCCAGAGGCTTCTTACACTATATCTTTTTGGGATTTTTTTTCTCTTCTGATTGGGTGTTTTATGCTTCCTTATATTTCAAATTGCTGATATTCCTCGTTATTCTTCATTTCAGTTAGTGTGTCTTTCATTTCTGACCATTCTTTTTTGTGGTTTCCATGTCCTTTTTTATGCTGTTGAAGTTCTCATTAAGTTCATTGAGCATCCTTATAACCAGTGTTTGAACTCTGCATCTAGTAGATTGCTTGTCCCCATTTTGTTTAGTTCTTTTTCTGGAGTTTTGTTCTGTTCTTTCATTTGGGACATGCTTCTTTGTCTCCTCATTTTGGCAGCCTCCTTGTGTTTGTTTCTATGTATTATGTAGAGTTATTATGTCTCCTGGGCTTGATATAATGGGCTTATGTAATAGGTATCCTGTAGGGTCCAGTGGAACAGCCTACCCCGTCACCTAAGCTGGCCTCTCTAGGTGCACCCCTTCCTCACCAATCCCCCACACTGTGTGGACTGTGTATATCCTCCTTTTGTATTTGAGCCTTGATCGTTGTTGGCTTGTCAAAGGGAGGGATTTACCTCCAGGCCAATTGACTAGAAGGACTGGCTGGGACCACGCACTACCATGGAGGATCAACTATGCAGGGGCCTACTCCACAGAGCAGGAGTTTCTTCAGCAGGGCTCTGGTATCTGCTGAGTTGCCTCTTGGGTGTGCCACTG